TCTCAAGTAAACGGTAAGACACACAACATTTAAAGTTTTCTTCCTAACTTGATCAATATGCAGATCAATGCGTTTTCTCCCTTCAGGTGATTTCGCGCTCTTGCTTTCTTTTAGACACTCTGCAGTAGCTCAGTGTTGCCACGAGGGGGCGCCCACCCCCATCACATCATAATCCGCCTGTCAAGGAAAGGAACAACAGCGGCCCACAGTATTTTCCCAAGAGACAGAAACATAACCTTATTCTTGTCATAGTTAAAAAATGGGAATGCAGAATTTACATAGAATTCTTAAAATATGTTTTATCTCCATTGTCAGTAACCCCCAGCAGACCGACTTTTACTTTTATTCTTTCTATAATTTCCCTATGAAACAGAGGAGCAAATCACGTCTAGTCTGTTTTATCTATCAATCAACTGGTAATTTTCTTAGTGTTTGTTACCATGGCACCCACAGCCCGTGCTACTCTGCTGCTTCTGTTGTCTTAATCTCGGTTCACTGTTACAGGTAAGCAATCAAGGATTTCTCCAGGGAACTCGAGAACGAGGCGAGGGAGTGGGGAGCAGGAAACCCGTATAATTACCACAATGACGGGTTGACATCGTAGAATCCAAAAACGACTCCCACCTCCTCACTTTAAACATGAAGAAACTGAGTTTCTAAAATAGCAGTGAGTTATGTGCACAGAGCCTGAGAAAAGAACAGAACCCACTTTGAGAAATGTTAGCTCAATAATGCCTAACATTAAATGACAGGTTTCACCCTGACGGCAACTCAGAATGTCTCCCTAATTAATTTTTCAAACACTCCTTTAGTAATCTGTCAGTTTTATTCTTTAACAGAAAAACCAAGGGAGATCCCAGGCGAAGTGTCTTTCCTTTATCTCCTAAAACAGAATCAGAATTAAACATATGAGGAGATCAGAATTTAACAAAGCTCTCACCCAGGTTTGTGGTTAGGACATTTGGTCATGACCTTCTGTAACATCCTCAGTCAAAGACATTTTATAGTAATAGCCATGTGTTCTCAAATATTTCCTTCTAAGAATAAATTACTGGCTTGCTAAGGATCATAGGCACATAAAGTAGCAGATGATTAAAAAGATATAAATTTATAAATAACTCTCAAATCTAGAACATGGGCAAGTAATGTGAGTGTCATAAAGAAATGATGCACTAGATTTAGAATTTAGTAACTGTTACCAAAATTGTAAATAACTCCTGATGATTTAGAGAAATTTGGAAGGTTCTGAATCTTCCAAATGATTCATTGACCCCAAAGGCTGATATTTACTTTTCCTGTGAATGATGGGAATCTTCAGTACCAGTACATGTCTAATAAAACTATGAGAGGAAGAACTTGAGGTCCTATAATTCCACATCCCTGAAATGTTGTGTACAGGGGACTCTAAGGAGAAGTAGTCACCGTACCACTGGATTGTCACTTAGGAGAAGCACCTTGAATAAAATTGATCCTTACTTGGAGAACATGTGGCAACAGGCCATATGTCGTTATGCACTTACTGAATACTGTTTTGGAGGTTGACAAGTAGGGGGAAGAATCTTCAAAAACTTA